GGATCATAAAACGTTACAGATAATGCATATTTATTCAGTCAGGTAGAATAGGAGACAACATCTGAAGTATGTGACATTGATAATTAGGACAACCAAAATAGTTATATTTTGAAAAACTATGTCTGTTGATTGTCAGCAGCCGACTGTAAAATAATTATGACTTCCTACTTCACCTTGAAAGACTACACTGCCTTTCGGCAGCACTGTGAAACAAACGGTTTACTCAGACAGTAAAATACCCAGCAGCTTACAACCCTTTTAAGAAGTACATTCCAACAACAACTTCAGCAAGTTCAAACCCAAAAAATCGCATCAAGCATTTAAAATATCAACTTTATTCTCCTTATCACAATAATTGTCTACCGTAATTTCTTCGGACGGTTTAAATTACAAATCTTTAATTGCCTGAACACATTTCAAGACAGTTAACTTTCTAAACCATGTTTTCACCGAAAGTTTATATACATATGGTATATACTTTGCGAACTGGGATAATTATGTTCACGAAAAGCGTGGTTATATCATGATAGCAGAGTGTGAGTGACAATTTTTCATGTTGTTTTTATTAGACTTTGATCTGTTTTGTTGAAAAAATAAGCTACTTATTGTGAAAATAAATAAAAACTTAGGATGATGAATACCACTCGTATTTTAAAAGTTTTTTTTAGTTGTATAATGTCCAACATTATCCCTTAGGTAATCTATTTTTCCGAGTAACTCAAAAATCACTGCTCTTTAAATGAGGTTAGACCGTAACAAAACTTAGTCGACTTCAAACTGAAAGTATTAGCTGACGTATATGAGTAATTCTGAAAGATTAGTTAACACTGTCTACTGGGATCTATTTATCATCTTGAATATATAGAACAGAAGTAAACGTACTAAGCATATAATTCGTCTCATCGTTGCTTTCAAAATATTTTGAGCAAACACTTATAACACAGTGAATGGAGCCTGATGACGACCTAAATGAAAACAATAATATTGTTCACTTATATGGGTTGTGTATTAATTGATCACTGAGTTGCAATCAATATCATATTATCATGTCTTGAGTGTGGATTAAATTATATCAATCGATTACAACTTAATTTGCATTGTCTTTGTCTTCTGATCCATCTTGTTCTATGTTCAATGTCTTATGATTGCCAATATGAAAAAAAACTATTAACTTAGGTTTCATGTCTGTTAACATTAGAGTTAACAAAAATTATCTGTTAACCTCCGGAAAACTTGTGTTCCGCCGTACAAGATTCGAAACCTTGTTATCTTATCTTATCTTATAGTTACAGATGTTAACACAGCCATTTCATAGATTACGATATCTACACTGATTCCTATGGTTTTTATTATCTGACCTAATTTAAATTTAGTAATTTCGTATTTCAAAAAAGGCATATATTTATCTATCTAGTCAACGTACACAGAAAAAGGTGAATGGTTAAATCAACTTCTGGAGCAAACCAATATTATATGCTGACAGAAGAAACATGTATAACCTTTCCTTCTCATATGGTCTTAATCTTAATCTCTCACAATCATTTTCTCTTCTCTTCTACTCTCACAGTCATTTACTTCCCATCTATCTTATTTCCTATAAACCTTTTGCTTTCAACTGATCTGTTTTTCTTTCTATGATTCTTCTCATGTTAGTTCATCCCAATGTAATACAGTTTATCTTATCACACTGAGATTTCCTTTTTCCGGTTATTGATTCTTTATTTCTCTTGATGATGATTGTATAGCTTTAAAAATGAATTTGCCGAAAACCGTACTCTTTGTTGAGCCAATCATTCTTACTTTATGTCTCTATGAGTATATACTGTGTTCACGTTAAATGAAACACTGACTCTTGCCAATGCAAAAGACAAGAATGAACAGAAGTATCATTAAAAATATAAAATAACCGTCCATTAAATCATTTACTGGTAAAAGCTTCATTTGGAAATTATTAAACGGATCATGGTGTAGTTTCGTTCTCTGAGCTGAATGTTTTGGTTTGAAGCTTTCATGGTTCTTCGGAACAACATCATCACTAGCACAAAGCTTCAGGTAGAAGTGAAATATTAGAATTTCTTCATATATGACTTGTAACTTGTCCTGTTGACCTCATTCTTGATTGGTTGTTATCACCCCATTACTTGTCGTTATCTACTTCTTTATTTCGATTGTATCCCCCCTTCGATTTGGTCCTTAAGCCTGCACTTATCCATGATCCATGGATTCATGTGTATATGTTTGTTGATTGCCGATTGACCTGAGTGCAAAGCTTCTAAAAAATTTTGTTTGTCACAAAAAATGAAACTTATTTTCCACTACTTATGATAGATTCATTACAAAGCTTCTTTTTGAATTTTTCACTTTCAAACTATTCACTCATTCATTCATTCATTCATTGTAAGGACACTTTTCTCTGTTAATCTACGAATTCCGGTCAGTTATTACATTAAAACAACGAGCGATGCTTGTGGTGTTGTAGGAGTGGGTTGGAAGAAAGCTAATGGTGGTCAAACCAAAACATGGCACAAATCCATGAAGTTACTGACTAGTGGATTGAGTCATGTTGGTAGGTCTAGACTTCCTGGTTGGATACTGCAAAACGAAAGTAACCGAAGACTGGAGAGCTTGAATGATATTGTGGTGTGTGCTACTTATACGAACGACATAAGTAGTATAAGAAGGGACGTGAAAGAAGAAGTCTCACGGTCAGAAGAGGAAAACGGAAAGCAAATGGAGCAAAAGCAAGTAGTAAATGGAGTACCAACAGGAAGTAAAGGAAGCAACAGCAGGAATGGAAGAAGGATGGAGCGTTAGAAGTCAGGACTCAAAGATGGTGTGCAAATAGAGTGTTCAATGACTCAGAGTGTAAATTTGCAGAATATGATCTTCCGCGCCTGCCTCAGTCTTCTCAATATGACTCAAAATCGTTTGCAATGGTGCAGGTGCATCAATTACCTTTGGATTCTACATCACCTTTATCTTTCTCTTTCTAAGATTATTTCACTAGATTCTACTTCTTGAATCATATCTTCGAACCCTAATCTCTCTGATTAGTGCTCATACTTCTACTACCTCTACTACTATGAGATTTGAATGGACAATTGCATCTTTATGTGTCACTGTGGTATGGCAACTTGAACTAATGTACGTACGCAGGCACAAAGTTCTGCGTTGTACCTGACTGATTGATTGATTTGATTACATTGAAACTGTTCGAAGTTAATTCATATATGACATGTAACAGTTACAATGAATTATTATTTATTGCTGAATACACTAATAAAATATTAATAATTATATTATTATTCTTTTTTTCAATTTTATTTTATTCTTTATTTTTTTTCTCATTAAAATTCATCTTAATAATACATGTCAATTAATATGCAAAGTTAGGTGAACTGTGAAAAAGATGTCAATATATATATAGTCTCTTTTTTCAGTATGATATTGATTTGTTGTGTTTAGGTTAAAAATTCTCTCGAATTATTTATCAATTTACCGATAAGTTAGTTGTTCTGCTTGTTTTTCGTTTAATGTGGGTACAGTAAGAGTAACTTTCATTAGCTGGTAAACTAATAGGAAACTAGTAAACAGTAAATATTGTTTTACTTCGGTTTGGGGGGCTCCTCAGAGGAGAGCACTCCATATAGGACTGTCAGTACATGTTTTGAATAAGAACACTTAAATCAGGACTTCAGTAGTTCACACATTATTAATTGATTTATGACGGCATACTCTTTATCCAAGGTTATACAGTATCTGATAGCTTTCAACTTGTTATGAATGCGCATCACCACGTGAATTGATATGCTTGAACTATTACTAGTTCACCTTAGTTGGTGAATGAGAGCGAGGACTGATGATCTGGCGACACGTTAGGCTAATCCAATCCGAGCGTCCCAAACCCCCATTAAGTAGGAGAAGAAGAAGTCTTAATGTGAAGTAGAAAGTGTATTCTACAAACATCCAGAAAATATATAAGGTCCATGTCCAGAAGGACAATAAGTATTCCGGACTAAGGATTCAGATCATAAAACGTTACAGATAATGCATATTTATTCAGTCAGGTAGAATAGGAAACAACATCTGAAGTATGTGACATTGATAATTAGGACAACCAATAGGAAGTGACCAATAGAATTAGGTTATTTGATGAATATCCACACACAACCATAATTTTAAGTAAAGTCATTAAAAGGCTAATTCTTAGTGAATACAGATTTTTCTTGGTTCTCTCAATCGAGATACTGTGTATTCACTCGTTGTTGTAAGGATGTACAAACTAGTCTCTATAGCTAACACCATTTTCTGATGAAAATTATATATATATATATATATATATATATATATATATATATATATATATATATATATATATATATATATATATTGTTTGTTTAAGTTTACTGGTGAATATTTGAATAAAGTTATTTTAGAAAATAACAAAATTCAATTGTATTACTATTTACTTTCATAAGGTGTGATACATGTATCAAAATTTTTCAAAGCATACTTTTCTATCCAAAAAGGTTAGTCGTTAATGTGTTTTTTATTCAGCGTGACCAACGCCTATTCATCATCATCATCAACATCATTCTATCAGCTTCGCTCCACTTTTTGTCATCATTAACTTTTCCTGTGTCTCCTACTCTTTTTGCCCTTAATTTAACATTTTACTAAATATTCTTACCATCCCCACTAATCGTTTGTTTCTTTCAAGCTGGTGTTATCTTTATCCCTTACTTACTTTGGTGTAAAATATTCATATTCACATTGTATGAATCTCGCCTAACCGCCTTGACAACCAGCCAATACTACAACATTACTAATGTGATTTACTGTATGTACAATTCATTTCAAGTTTTGATCAATTCAGCGATTAACTGACTAACTGACTGACTGACTGATTAGATATTGTGTGCTATTGATATCGATCTATTCTTAACTGTATTGTGTTGTGTTGTGTTTTTCTCATTTCGGGGCATCATCTCGTATGACAGAATTCGTAAAAAGCGTAGAGCTAATAATAATAATAATAATAACAACAATATTCAATCGAATGCATCAAATCCTACTGATCTGTCTGATGAAAAAAAACAACCAAATCAACTTGGCAATAATAATAATATGCTTGATAATAACAATAATCCGGAATTGTCAAAAAATCATCGAGATCATAATGAACCACCGGATAGATTGATCGATCCGGCGACTACTGAACTATCAGCTGGTCTAAGTAAGTACTGATTGAGATTTTTTTTCTTCTAAAGTTTTACATAGGAAACATTCTTAAGTAGAAATGATCTATTTTAATTTGACATAATTCACAATTTTCATGTTTCTTTTTCTTCCAATGTTGACATGTTTAATCCTTTACAATTTATACAGTGAGGTCAAGTTACTATTTGGTTTCAGTCTTTTTAAACTCATAAGCTACTTACTGATGAAATAATGCAAAAGACTCGTATTTAAAATTCACCGTAACTAATTAATAATGTCTCTGATATTGTAAGCAAATCATAAGTTGGCTAATGAGATGGCCATTCAGTGCCAATCAAAAGTTGCCTAAAAGACAATGTGCATGTCATTGACTAAGAGATAGGTACTTATTTTATTTAAACACATGAATGTTGTTACAAAGCTGCCCCTAAATATTTGTATGTGGGCTAAGATACTATCCGAGAGAGTGGACTAAAGTAATTGGTTTACTTAGGAAGACACATCCCCATCCTTTGGCCCAAAGGTTCCAGCCACAAATCAGAGAAGTAATATCAGGAGATGCAGTCCTTTCGTAGCTAGTGACCGACAATGGGTTCGTATGCCAATCATCCTGTCAGGATCCTCGAGCCCTTGTACACCAATGGCTTGAACTAAGTTTCCCAACCCCTCTAGGTGGATTCTTTGTACCCACCAACACGGTTGAAGAACTAGATACTCGGTTTTTGTCCTTCTAGTTTTGTAAGCAACACTCGCCGCGAGAAGGCAGTGAGAAAGATTTCCCTGACAGTGGTCAAATATGCATCAATTAATCAATCGACAGCAACGTGGAACTTCGTACGTACGTACATCAGTTCAAGTTGCCATATCACATTAGCACAGAGATGCAGTTGTCAATTTAAACCCCATGGTAGTAGAGGTCCTAAGTGTATCGGCAGTAATCGGAAAGATTAGGGTTAGAGGATATTATACAAGAAGTAGAATCTGATGAAATCAACTTAACGCGAGAAAGATAAGGGTGATGTAGAATCCACAGTATTAGGATTTCAGAGAAGACGAAGAATGAATTCACCTGTGCCATTGTAAACGATTTAAAGCCATGTCATTTAGAGTCTCTAACCATCGGTGACTTTCGTCTCGCGGACCTCAACCAGGTAGTTGACACCTACCTACATGACTCAGTCCACTTGTCAGTGACTTCATGGATTTCTGCCATGTTTTGGTTTGGCCGCCCCTAACTCTCTTCCAGCCTACTCCTACACCACAAAACATAGCTCGACGAGGTAGTCGGTGGTTGGACATTTGTAAAATATGTCCCAACCAGATCAACTGATGAAGTTTCAATACTTCATCTATTGATTTACCATCCTTACCTAGTAATAGTTTCCTAACAACAGCATTGCTCCTTCGGTTGTCCCAGGATATACGAGCAATGCTTCGAAGACACCGATAATCGAAAACCAGCGACCTACGAATGTCTTCTACTCTTACCGGCCTTGTTTCAGAGCCATAAAGTAGGTCGGAGAGAACTGCTGCTCAGTAGACTCGACCTTTGTTTAGCAAACAGATATCTCGCCTGCGCCATAAGTGACGCAGGTTGGCAAAAGCCAATCGAGCCTTCTGTATCCGTGCTGAGATTTCGTCACAAACCAGTCCATCAGCACTGATGAAACTCCCCAGATACATGAAGCGGTCAACATGCTCAACTACTTCACCCTCTATCACTAGTTGAGGTGACGATACAAGCCAATCCTGAAGCAAAATTTTGCATTTCGACGGGGAGAATCTCATCCCGAACATGTTTGCATTGTTGCTTAGGGCATGGCTATATGAGAAATGTACATATAAATCAGTGTATGTAATTCTGTAGCGCAACGAGCTTACTACTTCATTCTTATCTTCTCACACATCATGCGGTTAGGGTTGGCGAGTAGGAAGTTAGTGTATCAGTATCAGTTTCAATCACTGACCATAATAACAATCTATCGCTCGCATTATGCTTACTCATAGTTTATTTTACCTTGAAATCATGAATGAATGATTTTTAGACCATCATTAAAAACCTGGAAGCACTGGACGCCCGTTTCGTTCTGGTATGAGACTCATCAGCAGTGAACATCCACGACTCCTGATACTCTCAGGATTCGAACCCCAGGACCGTCCGTTTTGTGCACGATCGCCTAACATCTTGACCACTGAGACGGCATCCAGCGCTGTTAATGTCTAACTCCGATCACTCTAAGCATTTTTCATTACCTCACCCATTTGTCTTCGGTAGTTACTGTCTACACCCGACAGGGTTGAACTCCATTAGTCACATCTTCTCACTAGGACCCTGAGAATTTCCTCACGACGCTAATCACTAGTGAGCACATTGTACGATTTTTTTCATTTACACATCATTGCTAATAAGTCCCCATACTGGGACGAAACGGCCGTTCAGTGCTTCTTGGTTTCTAATGATGACCTAACAATGAATAATTGACAATTTCAGTGTGTAAAAACACTTATCTCCATAATTCTAACTAAAAGAATTTCAGATTGTTTGTAATATATAAAACAAACTAATTTCAGGATGATTTGATACAAAATGTTCACCTGGATCATTTTTACGCATAAAATCAAATTGTCAGATTAATAATCAGAAAATAAATATGATTAACATGAGGTGAACGTACTAATAATATAATTACAAATGAAGAATCACGTAATCAATCTATAGAAATATCATGAATGAACTACGAATTAATGAATAAGGGTGGATATGGAATAAATTTATCAAAACGTTTGCGCAAGCATAATAATGAGATTAACAATAATATTTGTGAATAAGTCTGACAATGAATTGATTAATTGATGATTTCGAATGTGTAAAAACACTAATCTCCATGACTCTAATTGAAAATATCGTAAAATGTGCTCACTAGTGACTAGCTTCATGAGGAAATTCTTGGAGTTCTAGTGAGAAGACATGACCAGTGGAGTTCAGCCCTGTCGAGTGAAGGAAGTAACTACCAAAGGTGAATGAGTGAGGTCGCGCAAAATACCTATATTGATCAGAGTTAGACATTGATACCCTTGGAGGCCGGCTAAGTGGTCGAGAGTTTAGGCATTCGCGTGCATGACCGAAAGTCCCGGGTTCAAATCCTGTGAGATGCAGGAGTCGTGGATGCGCACTGCCACTGATGAGTCCCATACCAGGACGAAACGGCCGTCTTGCAGTGCTTCCAGGTTTCTAATGGTGGTCTAAGAACGATTGATTGATGATTTCAATGTGTAAAAAAACACTAATCTCCATAACTCTAATTGAGAATAAGTTTAAGTTTTAAAAATTCATATAGAGAGGTTGTATAAACACTGATCAGAAGATCGTTACGATCATCAAAATGATTGTCAATAAAATTAGGCTAGAAGTTGGTCAAGATGAAAGATGTCGTTGTGATGATTAAATTTATTTTTCTGGACACTAAGTTCCGGTTTTTTTCATCCGAATAAATATTGCTTCAGCCATCTAAAGAGAATTCTTAGTTTAACGGATTGATGATGTTAACATGATGATACATTTATATTGATATCGATGTTTGTACTTGAATGTTTTCGGTTTTTAATATTGTCGACAAGCTGAAATACATCATTAATTACTATGTTTCAATAGGTGTGTTTGTGGAGTGGTTTTAAAATAGTTTACTAGCCGCTTTGTGCTATAGTGTGAATTGTACATGTTTAGAATTTGTGGTGACCAACTTCAACGTGCTCTTAGCCTTCGTAATCTGCTCGTCTAGGCAATCAGCACCAAATAAAGCCTGACAGTTTATGAATCAGAAGGCAAATACGAAGTGTCGATTTCGTTTATTTTTTAGCACACCACAAAATGGGACAGCAGACCACAAGCAGACAGGGTAGGCACACTAGCGGGTGAATGTGCGAATGAATGGATGAAGCAAAGTGGAGAATGCTAGTGGGCCAACTCCGAGAGATAAAGCATCATTAAGAATTTATAGTCAGACAAAAATAAGACAGATATGTAGTAAGTGAAATAGGCATACACACACATGAATACAAGTGACGAATAAGTGACAAGGTCAAACGACAGGTTGGGACAAGTCATGTGAGCTAGACATTGAATGACTCACTACAAATTAACCTCAATGGGATATCCACTTTGTGTATACCTACAGTAACCCGTATAACCTTGATAAATGACTGCCCATCAGTTGAATTGTTTCGTATATGTTGTTCAATGGAAGGGATCATCCTAAGCTTTGTTTCAAAGATCTAGTCACTTTATTCTCTATCTTAGTATTTACTTCTTGTTGGTCATTTAGTTTTGGGAATTTAAGATCATCAGTCAAGTTGTGTTATTCATCCTGTCGTTAATATTAGTCTTATTTGTTAAGTTGGTCAGTTCCTGTTCCCTTAACCAGTTTCGTAATAGTCAAATTTTCATCATTAATAAGTTCATTGATAACCAACAAGTGTTTTTTTAGTCTAAATACTTCTGTAAGTACAATCTAATGCTCTTAAACAGATAACAGTAATCAAACAGATTCGATTTGAACAGTGTACCCTATGTTTTATACTTAATTTTGCGTATTTACTAGCCAATGAATAAAATAATGTGTTTAGATATCACTTCTAAGAAAGCTCTAGCAATAGAATTTGTAATATTCCGAGTAACACAACATTTCGTACTTAATGTGAATCACTTATTTATACAGTCAAAAACGTTACTATTTGATATGCTCGTCAATTGATATGCTTGAATGCTATTACGAGTTCACCTTACTCGGTAAACGAGAGCGAAGACCAATGATACAGTGACACGATAGGCTATCCTGACTCGATTGTCCCCGGCCCTGCTAACTATCGAAAGGGTGTATTCTACAAGCACCCAGAAAATATGGGGTCCACAAGCACACAAATCGAGTTTATTCATACATGATAGAAATCGTGTACTAAAATAATACACTAACCAATGACAATCAAAGATTTTCCGAGTGGGAAATGTAATCTCAAGGTCAACCGAGTAGCCCATGCGCGGAAACGCAAAATCCCAAGTTAGAGCACTTTCCATGTGAGTTATGGGGATCTAACCTCGCCAACACTTAAACTGATAATTCTTGGCACAATAATTCACAATACTTTCCCGTAATTTTTATTCATAAGTACAAAAAATGCATTCATTACTTTTCTATCACTTACTTCTCACTAACCAATGAAAGAAATAATAATAATAATAATGATCAATAATGATTACGGTTTACTTTTCTGAAAAACAAAACACACTATTTTCTTTTCTGTACTCTCCTAGAACTATTTCTAAATCCAGATGAAGTAGAAAAATTGCATGATTTCGAAGAGGAATGTGTCGAAGACTATACACGTGTTACAAGAAAAGCTGAATTTCACAAAGCTGAAGGTCAAGTTGAAATATTGAGTAAAAAGTAAGCAAAACATTCGATAATAATCACTTGTTTTTAAATGTTTTACAAAGGAAACTAAACGTAGGTGTCTCCGAAGCATTGCTCGCATATCCTGGGACAACCAAATAAGCAATGCTGTTGTTAGGAAACGGGTTCTAGGTAATGATGGCAAGTCCATAGATGAAGTATTGAAACTTCATCAGTTGAGGTGGTTGGGACATATTTTACAAATGTCCAACCACCGACTGCCTCGACGAACTATGTTTTGAGTAGTAGGAATATGTTGGAAGAAAGCTAGGGTCGGCCAAACCAAAACACGGCACAAATCCATGAAAACATTGACAAGTGGATTGAGTCATGCTGGTAGATGTAGGCTACCTGGTTGGGGTCCGTGATACGATAGTCACCGATGGTTAGAGACCCTGAATGACATGGCTCAAAACCGTTTACAATGTCGCAGGTGCATTCATTCTGTGTGTTTTCTCAAATCCTAACCTTCGGAGTCCCTCATCACCTCATCTTTTTCTTTTTAAGTTTCTTTCTCTAGATTATGCTTATACCTCTACTACTATGAGATTTAAATTGACAAATACTAAATCCTTCTAAGGTTTCAATGTACAGTTTAGTTTTACAGTTGCACAAAGAACAATAATTATAAAAACCAGTTATATAACATTATCAGTTTGAGACAATGAAATTTAATTGGTAAAAAGTGACAAAACAGCAATTAATCGATTTGACCTAAACAATTTGATACAAGGGATTCTCCGTATTTATGAAAGATGAAAGTAGGCTCTCCTTAGCTAGGCGAGTAATATTAATCTATGTTAGAACTATGAATGGTCTGAAAGTTAAGCGCTCACTTCAAGGCATTGATATGCTTGGTTCAATTCTTGATGAGGTTATGAATATACACACTACCGAGGAGTGTTATACTAGGATGAAATAGTCACATTCGATAGAGGACAACTAAATATTGTGAAATAATTAATTTCAACCTTGTTTTTTTCTTGAACTCATCAAATAAGTAATTAGTAATTGCAATCCTCGTGGAACATGTTCTTGTTTATTTATCAAATCCACTGGTCATGACTTCTTACTAGAACTCGAAGAAGATTCTTCACGGAGCTAGTGAGCACAAATAAGTTCATTATAGGTTGTGAAGATTGTTAAGTTACTCATTGAAATCATGAATCGATCAATGTTCGACCACCGTTAGAAACCTGGAGGCACTGGACGGCCGTTTTGTCCTGGTATGGGACTCATCCGCAGTGCGCATCTACGACTCCTGTACATCGTAGGACTTGAAACCAGGACCTCCTGTCTTGCGAGCGAACGCAACAATCTCCACAACCCAATCATGCAAATTATCATGTGCTCACTAGTCACTAGCTCCGTGAGGAATCTTCTCCGAGTTCTAGTGAGAAGTCATGACCAATGGAGTTCAACCCTGTTCGGGTGTAGACAGTAATTACCGTAGACAGTGTATGGGGTTGCGCAAGACCGTGGATTGATCAAAGTTTGATATTAACACTGTTAGATACCACCCAAAGGTCCCTTGTTCGAGTCTCGCGAGGTACAGGAGTCGTGGATGAGCACTGCGGATGAGTCCTATACCAGGACGAAACAACCGTCCAGTGCTTCCAGGCTTCTAATGGAAGTCTAACATAGATCGATTCATGATTTCAGTAACGTAACTTAACACTCTCCGCAACCCCATAATGTATTTATCAAATGTGATAAATATTTCTTTCACTATGCATAAATTTCATGTTTATATTATTCATCTTAACTTCACATAGAATTGATCAATTACAATTTCGTATGGATGAAATTCACGTGAGACAACGTCATTTACGTGGTCTAGTTCATTTAGTTGAAGAACATCTTGTCTGTATGGAAGATAATTTACATGCAACAGGTATAATGAATTCATCACCAGGAATTATCTATAATAATAACACTAATCCTTCTTCTCATAATATGGAACAGTTGACAATGATGTCGACAACCACAACAACAGCACCGCCATCATCATCCGCAGTAAATAATCATGATCAACTACCTCCGTCTACTTCTATTGTAAATAATAATACCAGAGAGAAAGATATGATATTTACATCGAGTTTATTATGGTTACTGAAACGACAAATAGCTCGTGATTCAAGCGCTGCACCAAATGGTATGATGTGAAAAAATATATATATAGTGTTGCTATTATTATCAGTAGTAGTGTTAGTAGTAGTATTGTTATTGTTGTTTTAATTTTAAAATATTCACTTTCCTATAAATATGTTTACAGTTAGGATTATTATTATCATTTAATATGAGTAATCATTCTACTGAACAACAACAATTGGACTTTGTTCAATGTTCAATTTATAGGGTGAATTCATTCCTCTCATTGAATTCTATTCTGATTTCAAGGTGAACTATGCTCTGTGTGTGTGTGCACGTACGTGTGCGTGTACGTGTGTGAACTGCTAGTAGTTGTGTTTAATAAACTATTGTTTGACTTTTGGGTTCTGAATTATTGGTCATGCATTATGGTGATATTCTGTCGTACCGATAAGAGAGCACCTAGTTGAATCTAGCATTGTCGTATTATATCCCATTATAAAAATTGCGTTATAGAGAAAGGATATTTAAAGTAATGAAAACAATAAACGTACTCGTGTACAATCTGTAAATGTTTGTATCTGCTCGTTGGTATACTAAGGCCTGTAACTGATCCCATCTCTGTTGTCATTTATGCATCCTGAAAGTATTAAGTTGATATAGCTATTCGATCACACTATCTTAGTTAAATTAAGTGCTGGGTGACAGTGGAATTCATAAGATGAGTGAAGATAGAAACGTTTTTAAGTTAAATTCATCATCACAAGCCATCAGCTATCTGGATCCAGTTGCTCAATATAGCTAACACTTTGTCACTCAAAGTAAAAGGTACTGCATTCGAGCTCAGGTACGAACATCGACACCGAGATGCGAGAATACCCAGTAGATGAGTCCCAGACTGGATGAAACGTGCTTTCTGAATTTCACTGTTACTCACTATTGAACTTTATTGCTTCGAATATGACAGATTTTTGTCTACCACTTGACCCTAGTTTGTACGTAAGTTTTTACATACTAAAAAAGTATTTTTTTAAAATAAATAATCCATAAGTGAAAATGATATATTCATCACGAATTCACATCAACTCAGAAATCATTGGAAACCAATGATCATGGGCTTAGTTTGGGACTTTGCAGAAGCTAATAACTTCGAGATGGATTCTCAAAGATCTGGTGGGAATGTGTAACCGCATATCTTGGCTTTTTATAGAAATGGCGCTAAATAAAACCGTTTTGAAATAAAAATCACAAGATAATAACCATGTGGAATGATATTAAGAAAGACAACACAAGTGAGACTATAATACTGTAAAGAAATAATTGACAAAACGATAATAAATAACATAACTAGTATTGAATAAGAGATATAGTTCATCTGAAAATGTAAGTGAGAAAAGCTTTTTTCATTTCACTATTTTAATGTGTGACATGAAACTACAGAAGGATCATTACTGAATTTTATTGTGAGCTATATCTGATAACATTTCAGTCCACTGAGTTGTACAACCTCTAGAACTTCAACTTGAGAGTTGTGATGGACCGGCAAGTGACAATCTTATACAACTCTCGATTCTAAACCGGCGTTATATCAAAAACTGATGATCTCTTGGCTTTTTTCTTCCAGTTCATTTCAGTCTATAATACCCAATATAGAAGGTGTTGAGATGATATTCTCTGAGCATAATCAAGCCGCCGAATTCGGTGTTTCAAGAGGGTGACACTAACAGGATTGCTGTCACTATTTGTCTGGGCATACATTGTCGAACTTAGGCACTACTAGATTGATATTGCCACTGGCTATTAATAGTCTTTTGAAAATAACAGCAGTTGAGTGTATAGGCAGTTGCCGGACATTCCTACTTCAAAACAGCTAGGTTTCACAAGCATTAAGCAGAACAACTTTCCTCGATGCTTTGTAAACTTCATCTTTTATACTAAGACAAAGGTCACGACAGCACTATCCATAATTAAGAGAGATTGCCAAAACACTCTCAAAAACAATTAAATTATTTACTAGCTTTTAATACAGATAGCTATTATGCGTATGACTGAAAATGACTTATTACTAACAATATATCCTGTGATAATTTAAGAAGCAGTAAAAAAAAGTTGAACAATAATTCCATATACTACTGATTACTTTAAAAGTAGATTAGCTATCATTTTAATTGTGCATTACTTAACTAGAATATTTAATCTCATAATTTCATTCTACATAACTTTAATTTATCATCTTTTAAAAGTATGTCGATCTTTTAATTTCTCACAAGGTCACCTTTTTACTCAATTAGTTCGTCTTACTTAGTAAAATAGAGTCAATATTACTTTTATTAACCGAAAATTGTCATTGGATGTAACGTTGTTTACTTAACCTGGAAAAAAAATTACGAAATTTTTTTAAGGTGGGATATTCGATAAACTGATAACTCAGATAGTCATTTTTAACATTACCTATTATACAACATCAAAATATTTACTAACATTTAAATTTAAGCTATTTGACATCTTGAAATCGATTTTATGATTTTGTTACAAACATTAATGCATAAATCTCAGAGCTGTAAATAAATATCGCCTGGAGAACCAATGAAAAACCAAAGAGTTGTTTTGTTTTAATTTGTGACTTAATATAGTGCATATCTACAGGTCTACTAGTTAGTAATCAAATCCATGACCTTCAAACCTTACTATTGTAGTGAACGAGAACACAGGTGGGGCAACCGAATTGTATTTAACGAAAATTACAGAGTTACTCAGTAAAATCGGAACACCATATCGTAAATCGTTCATTTGCAAAATATCAGTTCATCATATCGAACTGGACTGTTCCTGTTGTAAAACATCAATCCATTGTCACTATTCATGCGTTTCATACAAATTCCATTGTGTTCTAACTCTTCCTTTCTTGATCTTCCCTCATCTTCTGCTGCCAGACATTACGTTGACACTCAGGTCATATGCTACTTATAAGTAGCTCGCACCACACTATGAATTGAACATTGACTTAACTATTACTTAAACTTCTTAATTATTTAAAACTACATTAACCCTAGTAGATTATAAGCTTTAAAATATTAAATATGAATAAATGAGCTAAAGGCATATAGTTGATATGATTCTTAAATAACTTGGGCGTTGTTTTTTCTATATTTAAACTCTCCTTTTACATAGTTTTTTTCGTTCATTCCTCGTACTATTAAATGTTTACATTATCAAAATCGTTAAATCCTCTAAGGTGAAAATTATTTTCTTTACAAATTTTATTTAGAAAACCTTGATTATCCACAACAATTAGCTCGTTCACTTGTATCACAACTTGGACGACGTTCACGTGTACCAACTGGATCGTTTAGTTCACGTCAACATCAAAATTATTTAGATTCAACATTTGAACGATCACCAAGTTGTTCAATTCGTATGAAACATCGTAATGGTCGAACAGATCATAGATATTCATTGCCAACTTTTGATTATCCTTCTTTCCCACATTCAGAAGGACATTATCATGGATTGACATCATCATCATCATACTACGATCGAATGTATGAGTAAGTTAATAATAATACTGTGTGTGTGTGTGTGTGAAATTTGACGGTGATTTTTTTTAACAGTTTATCATGAAAGTAATTGGTGTTAGTTATTTTCATAACTAACCAATCAAATTTTGGTTTGAGCGCCTACACGTGATCTAATCTGACATGTCTGTAAACTCTCTTTCTTGTAAATGACCTACTAATTGAAGGACATTATTGATGTGACTCATAACTTTATTCATTTCCATAAGACACGCTATATTGGTCGGTACGTTTGCTCGTTTTACTTGATAATTGTAATTTCCTTATTTATTGTACTAATTTAATTGTTTTAAGTTTAGAAACAGATAAAGTTTAAAGCAAAAGTTGATCCTGTTCTAACTGTAGCTTTCCTATAGACTCTGTGCTCGCCAATATTGCGTTTACCGTTGTAGAATTACATCTGTAGGACAAATTGTTTTCATTTTATGAATTACATTTTTCCTACAAATATTGAAGTTCTTTCTACACCAAGTCAATCAACTTGTTCTATACAGTAGTGGTGTGGTGCGCGCTACTTATAAGTAGTATATGACGCGAGTGTCAGCGTAATGTCTGGCAGCGGAAGATGGGGGAAGATCAAGAAAGGAAGAGTGGGAACACAAAAATGGGATTTGTATGAAACGCATGAATAATGAGATGTCGGACAATGGACTGATGATTGATTGAAGATTTGCAAATTAACGGTTACGATATGGTTTTCCTATTTTACCGAGTAACTCTGTAATTTGCGATAAATACAATTCGGTTGCCCTCACCTGCGTTCTCCTTCACTACAGTAGTTGTACATACAGTAATGGTTTTTTCGATAGTTCAAAACACTCAACAATTAATAAGATTGCAGATTCAAATTTGAACTTTATCTGTCTCAGTTTTAACAGCTCAGCCAATGAGTTTTATTAATTTAAAAGCTTATAAATACGTGAATCATATACATACAGTCTATTCAATAACTATGTGACAACTCGTTGTCAATTTTGCGTGAAACTTGAGAAACAGACTCAGGAATGTTAAGGTTATTATATTATGGATATACTGGTTTAGAGAAATTAGCTTTTTAATGTACCAAGTATTTCCATGAAACCTATGAAGATTTCAAGGATGATTCTCCTTAGCTAGGCCAACTATTGACCTCCGACGTTGATGAACACTTCAAATTGTTTAGCCTCTCATATTTTCAGATGAACTGAATTTCATAAAATCGTCTTTGCATACGATCATTGTAGAAACGTTGAGGTTGAGTAATAGCTCTGAATAATGAGGCAACTACAGATCTTAACCTTAAAAAATATCTGTAGATTTTTTCAACTATTGTTAGGATATTCATCGAATATCCTAAGGGGATTATTTTTGTAAGTCTAATTCTATTGGTCAATTCGTACTGGTCAATATTAGAGTCGTCCTAACTATCAATGCCACAGACTTCAATGTTGTTTCCCATTGGTTGTCCTGACTATCAATGTCAGAGGCTTCAATGTTGTTTCCTATTCTATCTAACTGGATAAATACGCATTATCTATAACGTTTTAGGACCCGGACCCTGAGTCTGGGATCCTCAGCCTTTTCTGGACTCGGACCCCGTACTTCCTGGATACTTGTAGAATACCTGTTCTACTTCATATCAAATCTTCTTCGTTTATTCAATGGGAGTTTGGGACGCTCGGATTAGATTAGCATATCGTGTCGCCAGATCCTCAATCTTCGCTATCGTTTACTGACTAAGATAAACTCGTAATAATTCAAGCACATCAAATGACGCGTTTACATGTATGCATACAGGAATGAGGAACGTTTGTTTCCATAGATTAGAAGTATTTCATGGCGGATAGGACTAACTTTTATCAATTTTCAAAATAGAGCAACTAATGGTAATAGTATTCTTCTTCTAATATTATCATATAATTGTGTTTCTTTCACAAAAATAGACGTGATCGTAATCGTCTTCCTATGAATCGTATCCAGCATGGATCTTATCGAGCACCAGATCTAACTTATCGTGAATACACAACCATCTGTGATGATATAGATCTTTCTTGTTTAAGTTATGTAAGTCTTGTTGTTTTTTGCATAATTTGTTATATATGTTCAAAAGTTTTGTCGAAATAAAAATTTTATATTAATATCTACAGGATAGTGTTATTGTAAATCTGGCTAGTCTTGTTGTAATGACGTGTGTACTTTTTATCGAAAAAATGTCTGCAGTGCGAATCTACGACTCCTGCACCTCGCAGGATTCCAACCCGGGACCTTTGGTATTGTGCGCGAATGCCTAACCATCGGACCACTGGGCCGGCATCCAACGGTGTTAATGTCTAACTCTGATTGATCTACGGATTTTAAGCGACCTCACCTGTTTGTCTTTGGTAGTTACTGCCTACACCCGACAGGGTTGAACTCCATTGGTCATGTCTTCTCAACTAGAACTCCAAGAATTTCCTCACGAAGCTAGTAACTAGTGAGCACTGTTACGATATTTTAGGGGCGTTCGCGCACAATACCGAAGGTCCTTGGTTCGAATCCTGCGAGGAGCAGGAGTCGTGGATGCGCACTGCCACTGATGAGTCCCATACCAGGACGAAACGGCCTTCCAGTGCTTCCAGGTTTCTAATGGTGGTCTAACAATGATTGATTGATGATTTCAAATGTGTAAAAACACAAACGTCCAAAACTGTGCCCCAAAAAAATATCTGTTGGTAAGTTCTCCTTTTGGACTCTCGGGTGTAAGGGATGACCGTTTTATTATTATTATTATTATTATTATTATTATTACTATTATTATTGAATGGTGCTTCAATAGGGATTTCTTGTAAACATTCACATCATTTTCATTAACGAGCTAATAGGATTGTTCATTTACTAGAACTACATTTTGTAAATTAAAAAATTGAACATGGTTCACTGTAGACTTTGAGTTATGTTCCAACTCGAAAATTAAACCGAATCAGTTGTCCAATTGAGAAAATAATTGTGTTTAAGTATCATTGTTTATTAATGAATACAAACAAGTGCAAAATGTACACTCTAGCTAACTGAAGTTTTCAGTTTCATATGAATAATATTTCGTCTTTTTATTTGTGGTTATCCTATTTTCTTTCTATCTTATTTTTCTGGTAGTCTTTTTCCGATAAACGCAAATCTTTGATTGGAATAATCCATATCGCTTGAGTACTTACAGCTACTTACTTACACCTGTTAGCCCTAATCGAGTATAGATCACGGACCAGTGTTCTCCCACCTACTCTGTTCCGTGCTTCCCTTTACAGTTCTGTCCAATTTTCATTCATTCTTCGCATGTCTGTCTCCATTTCTCGGTGTAATGAGCTCTTTGGTCTTCTGTAGTGAGCGAGAACATAGGTGGGGCAACCGAATTGTATTTAACGAAAATTACAGAGTTACTCAGTAAAATCGGAAAACCATATCGTACTGTTCCTGTTGTAAAACATCAATCCATTGTCACTATTCATGCGTTTCATACAAATTCCATTGTGTTCTAACTCTTCCTTTCTTGATCTTCCCCCATCTTCTGCTGGCAGACATTACGTTGACACTCACGTCATATACTACTTATAAGTAGCTCGCACCACACTTCCTCTTCTCCTTTGGCCTTGAGGATTCCAAGTGAGGGCTTGTCTTGTGATGCAGTTGGGTCAAAATTACGACAGTATAGACAACTAACTGTTAATAAACACTTGTATCTTCTGGATGATGGCTTTGGTAGTTCTCCAAGAACTGTATTGACATTTGTTTTGAAAATCCTGATTTTGGTTTCGGTTGATAGTTGTTTTGAGTTCCATATGTTGTTCAATTGTGGAAATGCTTTTTTTGCTTTGCCAATCAACGCCTTCACATCTGCATCGGATCCATCTTGATTGTCTATGATGCTGCCCAGGTATGTAAAGATGTTAACGTCCTCCAAGGCATCTCCATTAAGAGTGATGTTTTTGGTCCATGTTGTGTTGTATCGGAGAATCTCGCTCTTCCCTTTATGCATGTTGAAACCTGCTTCTGATGAGAATGATATCCCTTGAATAGGTATTGGTAAAATGAATCATATATCCTTTTTTTTTAATTTTTACTATTCTTATTCATTTAAATAGCCTAACAGTCCAATGATGAGTCCTAATGGTTCTCGAATGGATCTTACATCTGTTGGTCTTATGCGAAATACCAATTTCCCGACAGATACTACTGCTATGATTAAAACCAAAGAGCATTTACCTTTACCAAAATATCAAAATATTCCATTTGTATCAAGTGAAACTACAATGAATAGCTTAATGAATCGAATTATTCCTTGTAATATAACTACTGACATTTATGGTACTACTAATACTAATAGCGCTACCGTTACTCATACTACAACTACAACTACTACTACAAAACCACCTCCAGAACCGAAATCTGCTCCAGCTACTCCAAGACAACGTGCTTCATCATTTCAATCATCAATAATGGATAATGGCAGTGAACGTAGTCAATCACTTGCAACTTTACAAACCAATACAAAATCTGTTGATAAACGTAAGCTAATACATTTTTTTAATTCTTAAAAAAACTAAAACCTTTTATTAGTAGTTGGTAGAGTTAAACTAGCCACTTGTAGATTACACCTCCGATCGTCACCTCAATCAATCAGTCAATCAACAGCAACGTAGAACTTCGTACGTACGTACGTACATCAGTTCAAGTTGCCATAACACATTAACACAGAGATGCAATTGTAAATTCATATCCCATAGTAGTAGAGGTAGTAAAATTATTAGCGGTAATCAGAAGTTTCAGGGTTCGACGATATCATTCAGGAAGTAGAATCTAGTGAAATCAACTTAACAAGAGAAAGAGAAAGGTGATGTTAGGTTGGAAGAAATCTAGGGGCGGCCTAGGTTGGAAGAAATCTAGGGGCGGCCAGACCAAAACATGGCAGAAATCCATGAAGTCACTGACAAGTGGACTGAGTCATGTTGGTAGATGTAGACTACCTGGTTGGGGTCCGCGAGACGAAAGTCATCAATGGTTAGAGACCTTGAACGACATGGCTCAAAATCGTTTGCAATGGCGCAGGTGCATCCACTCTTTGAGCTCTCTCAAATCCTAATCTTCTGGATTAGCCAGCACCTCTACCTTTGTCTTTCTAACCTTATCTCACTGAATTATATTTTTTGAATAATATCTTAAACCCTAGTCTTCTTTATTACCATTAATACCTCTGCACTATCTTTATCACTATGGGATTTGATTTGACATTTGCGTCTCTGTGCTAATAATGTGGTATGGCAACATGAACTTATGTACATACGTACGAAGTTCTACGTTGCAACTGACTGACTGAAAGGTGATGTAGAATCCACAGTATTAGGATTTGAGACAGCACACAGAATAAATGCACCTGTGTCATTGCAAACGGTTTAGAGCCATGTCATTCAGAGTCTCTAACCATCGGTGACTTTCTTACCGTGGACCCCAACCTATTAGCCTACATCTACCAGCATGGCTCAGTCCACTTGTCAGTGACTTCATGAATTTGTACCATATTTTGGTCTGGTCGCCCATAGCATTCTACCAACCTATTCCTACATCACAAAACATAGCTCGACGAGGTAGTCGGTGGTTAGGTATTCGTAAAACATGTCCCAACCATCTCGACTGATGAAGTTTCAATATTTAATCTATTGATCTGCCATCCTTACCTAGTACCCGTTTCCTAACAACAGCACTGCTCACTTGGTTTTCTCAGGATACCCGAGCAATACTTCCGAGACACCTATTATCGAAAACTAGCAACCTACGAATGTCTTCTACTCTGGCTGGCCATGTTTCACAACAATAAAATAGGACGGAGAGAACTGCTGCGCAGTGCACTCGTCCTTTGGATATCTCGCCTGCGCCATAAGTGACGCAGGTTGGCAAAAGCCAATCGCGCCTTCTGTATCTGTGCTGAGATTTCGTCACACACCAGTCCATCAACACTGATGAGACTCCCGAGATAAGTGAAACAGTCTAAACGCTCAACTGCTCCACTCCCTATCATTAGTTCAGGTGCCGAAACAATTCAATCGTCGTCTACTCATTATTAATGATTCATAAAACACAAATAAGATAAAGATCATTCGATTTCAGTTCATTTATCCGATTTTATTCTTGACTTATGTGTTTGTTCACAACAAATTCGATGACTTTACAGTGCACTTCTTGGTTATACAGACTCTTCTTTGGTAACTAACTGCTCGTTCTCAATTTTATTCTGATTGATATTGATAACTGACTAAGGTGTATATATATACTTTATTTTCAATTTTCAATAAGTTTTCTAAATATTTAACACGTTCACTCGTACCAGATTAGAATATTCGATAGTCTTATCAGTACTGAAATCTTTTTTGAGGTCAGCCTATCTTGGGGTCATATAATCAATACACTTAAACATTTATTAGTGAATAAGTTTGTTTAAATTCATAACTTGTGGTAAATCAGTTATGTCTACAGTTTCAAATCATGGATTAATTGAAAAAAAGAAAAAGTACTTGATCAAAGTATAATTTAAATAGAATTATTCTTTAAAAAAATTCACATACACATGCATCATCATATGTAAAAACAAAATACTGATAATTAAACTTTTCAAACTATCAAAGTCATTGATTTGAATTGGTATAGAGAGATCCATTTGAAAACCGTGTTTTAGTATACAATTAAATTGGGTTTGTGGAGATTGAGTTGAGTTACTTTTTAAAATCAATTGAAATCGATCAGTGTTAGACCACCACCATTGAAAGCATTGAAAGACGGCTGTTTCGTCCTGTTACAGGGCTCATCAGCAGTGTTATATCATCAGAAGAAAATTGACCTTTTTAGTTTTCTTTTGTTTTGTGGTTTGATGATCAACTATTCAAGAGTTGGTATTTATTTGTGATGATTTGTTGATTGGAAATACAAAATCATGAAATAAACCACTTCGATGGTGCCGTTGTTTGTGTGTTTTCTGTGTTGTTTTTCTTACAAATTAATCCGATCAACAGAGTTGTGAATGCATCTTGAATGAACAGTCCATTATATGATAATTATATAATAATTATCTGTTGTACTCAACTGATGACATCTATCAACAGAATATGAATCGCGATGGAGTTTCTTTTCTCTGAGCTGCATGTTTTGGTTTGGGAACTTTCATTGTTCTTCTTCTGAACAACGCCATCAGCGCACACTTCAGATAGCAGAAGTGAAGAATATTCGAATTTCTCCACACATAACTCATAGCTTATTTTGTTGACCTCAATCTTGATAAAGGTCATTGTCTGCCTCTTTATTTTGATTGTATCCCCCGTTGATTTGTTTATGAATCAGAAAAATCATTGACAAACATAAGATCAAGAACCAAATCAAAGAGGGATACAATCAGAAAATAAAGATGCAGACAACGTTAGGTTTAAGGTCAATGATAACCAACCAAAATCGATGTCAACAGAACAAATTACAAGTCATACATGGAGAAATTCGAATACTTCACTTCTGCTATCTGAAGTTTTTGCTTATGATGTTGTGTCAGAAGAACAATGATGAAAGCTAGTCAACCATTCCCCCACCATCTCAGAATCTAAATCTTATTTCAGTGGTCATCATCTAAATATAAGTTTAATCTCTTAAGTAATTTTATTCAGTATTCATATAAGACCTTAAAACTTATATGGAGAAGACTGAGGCAGGCGCGGAAGATCATATTATGCAGGTTTACACTCTTAGTCAATTAAAAACGAAAACATTACATTGAATACTCTATTTGCACACCATATTTGAGTCCTGACTTCCAACGCTCCAGCCTTCTTCCATTCCTGCTGTTGCTTCCTTTACTTCCTGTTGGTACTACTCCATTTCCTTCTTGCTTTTGCTCCATTTGCTTTCCGTTTTCCTCTTGTGACCGTGAGAGTTCTTCTTTCACGTCCCTTCTTATACTACTTATATCGTTCGTATAAGTAGCACACACCACAATATGACAATTACATAACTCAGCTTCGTAAACAATCATCTCTCATTATTCGGTCAAGTTCATATTATTCAATATTATTATTATTATTATTATCTTGGTCAAGTCTTAAGTGTAATTAATATTCTTCTAATATGATATATAAATTGATTCCCATTTTACTCATTATATTCTGGTATTCGATTTGCACCTTCGCTAAACTTTCAGATTATAATGCTCTACTGATGATGATAATGATTATTATAAGCAAACACAGATTTATAGAACTACTTTTCACTCAATAAATCAATAGTTAACATTCCTAAGAGTGATTATAATGTATTCCCGGCCTGAAAGTTTGGCGGTCTGTTATCTGACTCCAATTTGTTATAGACGAATAATTCAATGTGATGAAAATACATTTTCCGTTTAATTCCGTTTATCTGCACTTACCTAGATTAACCTCATTCGAGCAGTGACGATAATACGAAATCAAATATAGATTAAATGGGATGAATTTATTTCATGCGCATTTGTTGAGAAGCGTGATAGGTGTAGTGTAGAGTATAAGTGTACTAACTCAATTTGATCAGGTATAACTATCTATTTACAGTCAGACACAAATACGTTCAGCATCTGCGACAAATAGAATAAACAATAGACGCAGATGGTCAAATAAAAACTGTCATGGTTATGAGCAAATAATCGATAAGGTCAAAATCTGTGTGGATAATGACTTGAGAAGAATCAACTAATTCGATTTTCCAAAAGCTAGAATGAACCCATGTAGGCTTGACACTACTACTTGAGCACATAAATCAGTATGTTCCAAGAGAACAACACTCAAGAGAACAACAAATTAAAATAAATTTCTATAATCTGTCTATTTTACTCAAAACTATTTCATCTCTTCTATTCTTAAAGAGGATAACTTGTACACTGGAATTATTCCGAAATATATCAAAGCTTTATCGAATGGTCGTAACTACTCATTACAGTCCTTATGATTTATTGGACTATATTCGGATGTCTGTAATCAAATTTGGCTGTTTAGTTGTCATAAGCAAGAAAGTTCGCCAATTGACATTTTTAGCGATAACTAATATTACTACTTATCCAAACTGTTAGTAGTATGAATTTATTAACATGTTTAATAATTCGAGTCAGCCAAATTTTCACCACAAATGAAATAAACTGGTGCATGCACTCACTATACGAGATTTTGGAATCTCAAAGGGGAAATTTCACAGCCTATCCTCTTGAGTTTGCGATTCAAATCATTTCATTCTGCTTTTTGTTAGAAGTTTTTACTCTAGACTAACGGATCACTAATATTTTGTCATCATTTAATAATAAGCTCGTCTGTATGATCTTAATAGTTATATAGTTATATAGTTGTTAGTAATTTCCCAGCTGATGATAATCAGTTTGAATTTTTTGCATGATTTAATGTGAATTAATCTTTTGAAAAAAAAATGTTGATCATAATTTTCTATTCTCTATTATTCCTTTATCCAATTTTAAAACAGATGCATTTATGTCTCTGAAACATTATACAAATTATGATACAAATTTACACTATATCAATCCTGAACTATATTCACATACTCATCATTTAACTGATAATACCAACAACAGTGTCACGACAACAACAACAACAACTACTACTACAACAGCAAATCCTCAAGATATACAAAACATGATCAGTAATTTGAAACATTTCACACAAGATATCATCAATGATTACAATGATGACTATGATGATGATGATGATGTTGCAGGTGGTCGTGGTGGTGGTGGTGTTGTTGGTGGTGATATTGATTATGTCGATGATAATGACGATGATGATGTCGATGATGCTGAAGGTGTTGTGGATCATGTTAATGAAGAAGAAAATAGACGAGATTTTTACATTGAAGAAGAAGATGAAGAACAGATGCAAGAGATGGAAACTGGAATTGATTTTAATGATGATGACGATGATGTTGACAATGATTTAGAAATGGAAGAGAGAAAAATTCACTTAGGTCTTCAAGAAGCTGAAAATGCTGAACGTATTGAACTTCAAGGGGCTATGCTTAGACGATTACGTAAATTATCTATTTCCATGCCAAATAAATCATGTCCAGTTAACAATATCATTGTTGCTAGTCATCTTGATAAACATAATGATGTGAAAATGATCAAGCATGGATTCAATCAAATTAACAATCAAAATACTTCTTGTTGGAATGTAAGTGACTGTTGTAGGATATTTTTAAATGATGATACTTTTTTTTTTGTAGTAATAACGAAACTTATTATCTTTTTAAAAGAAAGAAAGACTTTTCTACCATTCAGCTAACACTAATAACTGTTTTAAATAGGAAATTTAAGAAAAATAGTATATAAGTCAGTTTGAGATAAGTATTTAAAACTTGTAAATGACGGTTAAAACTGAATGTTTTCGAAGATTCCAACCCGATGACCGAGTGATGCATAAAATCTTTAGTTTCAAAGATGGAACTTGTCTCGAATATGGCAGCATAAGCAATAAAGTTTTACAAACATCAAATCAAAAGATTTTTAAGTGTTCATAAGTCGTCAGATCTATAGTTAATAAGGAATTTGTCTGTATGCTTCAAACAATTGTTTGAGAAATTTACAGCATACATAATCAATTAAAGAAATACTATTAGCTTTTCTGCAAAAAAATAAGGAATTTGTTTTGAGAGAACTCAGTCTCAATAAACAGTATGCCTAGAAGAAACTGAATGATAAGAATGACAAGGAAGTGGGTTAAAAATATTTAAGAATAACAGCACATTACAGGAAAGAGAAACTGTACGTTAATGATCCCAAAATAATTTGTAATTACATAAACTATTGAATATTAGTAAGTAGTATAATATGAAATACACAAAAGGAACAAATAATGAACTGATTAAATTTGAGTCCAAAACTGGATGTTAAACGCCATGTCTCATGATTTTGCATATCTTCCGTTATTTTGAGAACTAATATAAAAGATTACATCTTGAAAATTTTTAAAAAATCTATAAGCAACTTTGAGATCAATACCTAAGCTAGTAGGATTGTTAAGTTTGCTTAAGTGTTCGGGCATTGAACCATTCATTAGCCGAGCACATTATTCCAAACCATGAAATATGTAACTTGACCACTGAGTAAAAAGTCACATACTCAACTGTACACAACAATTCCTTATGCTAAAGTAATTATTACTACTATCTTAGGCAGTTCATATCATATAAGATGGGAGTTTTTGTTTTAAATACTAAGCCACTGCATCATATGTGAAATCTCGTTATGGCCTATTAGTGTATACGTACTTAGCACAAGCCTCATTGATTTAATAGCTTATAAGCATTGTTGTTTAAAAGCTTTTTGCGTAATTTCATATTCATAAATTCGATAAACAAACTATAAAATAAAAATAAAGTGCATAAATTGAATCGTGAATTCGATAACATTCAACCTACTTAAAAAGCACTCAACCCCGATTTATGCATCAAAAACAATAAATCATAGTGAATCTTTGGAAATGATAATCACTTTCTCAAGTCCAACCGAAAAATATGGTATTCCATTGTGGCCGGTCTCGTTTGATAAAAACCAACAAGTTCACATCACACATACTCAATAATTAAATCAACAGTTATGAAATATGGTTGGGGGGGGATAGGTGTAAGTTACTAGTATTTTATTATTAGGTTCCTTTAAAGCATTGACGGTTATGTAACGGAAGCACAGTTGTGGATATTTCTAAAATGGATACAGAATTGACTGATCAAATGCTGAACTACTAAGATTGACTAAGACGCTTTAGAAGAAATACATTCATTACAGAGCCAAAATTATCATCTACTTCTACGAATAATTAATATTGACTGTCTGATACTCCCTAGTTTTCATTTAGTACCTACAACGAGATCAATTTATGATGAATAAACTGTTAATTGTCAGAAATACACAGAAATCTTCTATTTTCTCATTATTCCATCATCGATCTATTTTATTTCCTTGTTCACTTTCACAGACAGACAATCTACCAGATTCCATTGAGAAATCTCCTGGTACAATTAGTGGACATACACATGAAATTGGATTAATTAGTTCAGAAGATATGGGTGATTTTTTATCACATGTTGCTAATGAAGAAGAAGCTGTTGATCCAGATTTAGATTTAGATTTTGATTCAATTCCTCATGAATCATCATCACCTGCATTATCGTCACCATCATCATCTTCATCATCATCTGATATTCGATCATGTATTGAATCGCCTATACAACAACAAATGAATAATAGTAATAATACATCATCACCTAGTAAAATGAACACTGATTTAGATGATGTTGATGATACATTATTATCATTGCATTCAATGACTACTGATAATGCAATAATTAGTAGTACAAGTAATATTAACAACAATAATACTAATAATAATATTCATCTCTCATATCCAAGTCCTATACTGGAAGAAAAAGAAGAAGAAATATTAGAAGAACACGAATATGCTGACAATCATGATGATGATGATGATGATGATGATGACGATGACGAAGTAATTCGTGAGCTAACAGTGACAACATCAACAAAACCAATTTGAAACCAAAGCAAAGTCTCCGTAACCTCCTCACATATATATATATATATATATATGACTGCACCCACATTAACAACTTTGAAGAAGATTTTTTTTATTGATATCAAGATTATTGATTTGTTGTTTGTTTTGCTCTTCAACTTTATATATAAACCCGTCCCGTCTTTCGTTTTGTTTTGTTTTAAAAAATAAATTTCTCAAATCTACTGGATTATTATTAGTTTTAAATATGATGTATATAATATACATATAATATATTAATTAAAAAGACAATAGAAAATTCATTTTAAACAATGATTAAAAGAAAAAGAATACTATCAGTTTAGTGTTTTATTCCGAAAAACTATGCTCAGATTCTCAGAGTTAGATGTTTTGTATCCTTCTGTGTGTCGGTCTGTCTGTGTGTGTGAGCTCACGCTCACGCTCATCTTTACATGGAAAGTTATATCCTTTCAATAATCAAATTAATTACACAAGTGATATTGATCTGAAGATAAAAACGTTAATAAATTCTATTCCTATTTTTTCTAATTTTGAGTAAATCAACGTTGTTCTGATGCTCTGAACGCCCTTTCTCTCTCTGTGTTTCTATTGTTACACCATTGTAATTTTTTTGTACAGTACAACTTCACAATGTGAAGAAACTTGACAAATAAATGATTTGTATAAATTTAAAAATAGAAAAAAAAACAAACAACTCACGTTCTAATATTGTTTTGTTATTTTTTTCTCAATAATATATGACCTTAATGATTTCTATAAATAAATAAATATATTTATAAACGATTTTTTAAAAAAACAAATAAAAAAAAACAATATTTTGTGATTTTTTTATATAGTTATTGTAAATATACATATGTAATTTATCATATACTATAACATATCTTTAACTCTTATTATCTTCTCTTTTTGTTTACTGTTTCAAAGATTCTTTTGTGTGTGTGTGTGTGCTGGTCTTTTCTTCTTCATACAAAAAAAAACCATAATACACTTTCTCGTTCACATTTCATTTTCAATCCACGTAACATATAACATGCATAACACGAATGATAATATTCAGAATTGAACACAACAACAACAATGTACTACTGCCGTTATTTATTTTTTTTTTCTAATATCCATCCATTCTACACATTTAATTATTTATTGTGTAAAACTTGTTTTGATTTTCTTTTTGTTAATAAAATACTACTATTATTATTATGCTTGATGAATTCAGTTGAATATATTCTCTTCAAAAATATATGTATAAATTGATTGACTATTGATATTTTTAAAAGTAGCTAAATATTTTTTTCGAAATAAAACTCATAGATTACATTACAAAATGATCTGTAGAGAAGTGTTGGAAACTAGGAAGTACTGGATAGCTAGCTGTCTTATCCTCGTATGAGACTCCTCAGTGGTACACACATTCATAACACCACCAGAGGAGTTAGAATAAAGAAGATTCTCAGTTCTGTGAAAGGGACATAACCTCTAAACCATCGAACCTGGATCTAATTGCATACACATCTAGCTTAAATCAATTTGCGATATTTGGTGACGACCGTCTTTTATTATCTCCGGTGAATAACTGTGTCATAATTAACTTGGTTAAGCTATATTGATCATGGATTCTCTCTAGAACTCCTGAAATTCCATCTCGGATTTAGTCATTGATAGAACACATGCTCTTAACCTGGGATCTGACTTCAATTAGGACGAACAAATGAATATGCTATGAAAGATATCTTCCCCTTTGATTTCCGTACATTATTCTTAGGCGAACTCTTTTTGTACGACATTGGTGATTAAAAAGCCAAATACGGATTGAGTCGGACGAGTTCATTTCATGCAATCGCAAAAAAAGACAGACCATAAAGTAAGCGAAGTTGAACAGAGAAGGCGAGTGGGTCAACTCACTCTGATGAGATATGACTAGGTACATATCGTTAGACAGAATTAAGCTAGATAAACAACGTACACATACACTCAAATAAAAGCAACCAAACTCACTAGCGAATAACTGACAAGGTCGGAAGACGTCCTAACTCAAGAAGAATGGATTAACTAATTTGTCCAAAGGTTGGAACAAGTCATGTGGGCTCGGCATTAATAGTTAGTACACACTAAAAGTTCTCATGGATAAAAGTAACTGTTTAAACTGGGTAAAGACTCTTTCAAATGATATAATTACATTTCAACAACTAATTTTGAAGACTAATAATGCCAGACAGGGTAGAAAAACAACAGATAAAAGAGCCATTGAAACAGATGAAACAAGGTTCTATTTCCCGAAAAAAATTGTTCGACGTGTTGAGATAGATCTGTGAGGACAATAACACGAAGGCTATATGACATGGTCTACCAAAAACTTTTCACTTTAGTATATTCAATATCTATCTCCTGATTCGTACATAGCGCTATTCTAGAACTGACTTGCTATCAGAATATTTTATTTGTTCTCTTTTAAATATTGCATAATTGAACAATTGTTTAATTGGGATTTCTAATTTTTACAAATAATTATTTTGATTAAGATAATCCTCTTCCTATTATTAGATTAATCATTTTTGATTATGAATTTATAATCACTATGGCATTAGAAAAGTATCATGTTACACAATCCGATTAATATTATTGTAGTGAAGTAGAACATAGATGGGGCAACCGAATTGATGAAAATTAGTAAAACCATATCGTAAATCGTTAATTTGCAAAACATCAATCTATCATCAATCCATTGTCTGACATTATCACTATTCATGCGTTTCATACAAATTCCACTGTGTTCTAACTCTTCCTTTCTTGATCTTCCCCCATCTTCTGCTGCCAGACATTACGTTGACACTCACGTCATATACTACTTATAAGTAGCTCGCATCACATTATTTTATACTTGTAAATCAAATTAGATATTCATGTTGAAAGCCATGATATAGAATGGATTGGAATTTCTATTCTCTTTTTTATCGTCTTTTTACTACTTGGTATGAGACTCATTAGCAGTGCGCATCCACGAATCCTGCACCTCGCAGGATTCGAACCCAGAACCTTCGGTCTTGTGCGCGAATGCCTAACCTCTGGACTACTGAGCTCGTCATGGATGCGCAGTGCTGATGGGTCCCATACCAGGATGAAACGGCAGTCCAGTGCTTCCAGGTTTCTAATGGTAGTCTAACAGTGATCAATTCATGATTTCAAATGTGTAACTTAACAATCTTCACAACGCCGTAATGTTTTTACGACTCGTTTAAATAGAAATTTCCCTTAACAATCAGAGAGAGTACTTGGAATACCTAGTTTACACTAAGAATTTTGATTGAACTGTAGTGTTATTGGCAGTCAGAGTGATAAATTTCTTCTATCCCTTCAAAATCTACCTGTTTCATTGATTAGTTAGTTACATACTACTTTTCTCAATTAAATAATTGAACCTACAAATCTTGAATGCCTGTTTTATTAATCAATGAAAAATCTTGAAAAATTGATTGTTATGATCTAACTCGTTTGTATATTGAATAAAAAGTATCAATCATCATATGGTATTTTAATGATAGGGATTATACTAAATCCATTTATTTACTAAATCTCACTTATTCCTATCGATTAACAATGAAGTAGAATCTAAGAATTAGATTTTTAATTACCATAGATAGTAATAATCTGTAGAACAATAGTTCATTTGGTTTTGCAGCTGTCAACACAGAAGACAATATTTGTGGAAATACATATAATAAACAATACTTTCTATAATAAAGTTCAAAAATAGTGGATGTGTTTTTAGTGCGTATTTGCTGACTAAAGGACGAGTGTACTGCGCAGTAGTTCGCTCCGTCTTACTTTATGGCTGTGAAACATGGCCAGTGAGAGTAGAAGATATTCGTAGGTTACTGGTTTTCGATCATAGGTGTCTTCGAAGCATTGCTCGTATATCGTGGAACGCTGTTATTAGGAATCGGGTGCTAGGTAAGAATGGCAGATCAATAGATGAAGTGGTGAAACTTCATCAGTTGAGATGGTTGGGAAATGTATTACGAATGTCCAACCACCGAATACCTCGCCCAGCTATATTTTGTGGTGTAGAAGCAGGTTGGAAAAAATGAGGGATGGCCAGACCGAAACATGGCAGAAATCCATGAAGTCATTGACTAGTGGACTGAGCCATGTCGGTAATTGTCGACTACCTGGTTGGGGTCCGCGAGATGATAATAATCGATGGTTAGAGACCTTGAATGACATGGCTCAAAATCGTTCGCAATGGCGCCGGTGCATTAATTCTCTGTGTTCTCTCAAATGCTAATCTTCTGGATTCTTCAACACCTCTAGTTTTGACTTTCTAAACTTTTCTCACTGAATCATACTTCTTGAATAATATCTTCTAATCCTAACCTCCCTGATTACTTCTAATACCTTTACTACCTCTTCTACTATTGGATTTGAATTGACAATTACATCTCTGTGCTGATATGGTATGCCAACATGAACTGATGTACTTACGTACGAAGTTCTACGTTGCATCTGACTGAGTGACTTTTTTAGTGCGTAAGTATCAGTCAATGTTCAATCCATTCACAATATTTTATCAAATATTCTTTAAACAAGAACTAAATTCTAACACTATTAGATAATGAATATAAGGCCATCCATTCATTATTCACTAACGCACTATTCAGTTTAAGATTCTTTTTCGAAAATACTCTATTATTATATTACATAATACTCACACACTACTACAACTTGAATTAATCAATTTCGATCAGTTTTATTTAAGTTTTTTTTTAACTTTACCGCCATTTCAAATTGTATAAATAAAACAACGAACATGTTAAATGACTGACTCATTTATTTCTATTATATAAATTATCATATTCAAAAATGTCAATAACATACATCCATATATGATTACTAAACCGAAAAATATAAATGATTCCAATCTATAGAATTCATTGTGACGTGAATACTACTACTACTACTACTACTGTCTAATATATTATTAATTATACTTATGTTTTCGATTAAAAAAAATTATCACCGTTTGTATTTTTTGTTCTTAATCAACTTTCATTATGACATTTTTGATAATTATCATATTTAAATAATCAATTCATCAATCAATATTTGAATGTGTATAGAATTTACAAAGTTTATCACATACGTAGTACATATGTGTAAATCATGTGCGAATGAATCGACAGATATATACATGCACTTATTATTACATGCTCAGTGAACTACTAACTAACTAACTAACTAACTAAGATCAAACAAACAGTTTTACTAATAATTTTAAACAAAAATATGGCGGATAATTAATGTAATAAATAATATTTTATCATATTTTATCTGCGTACTATTAAATAACTTTTAATGTTGTAAACAACATCTTACCAGTGTCGCTAATGTTGACTAACAAGTGAAATGATACTTACTACTAATGTGTTATGTATGCCTGTCACCAGTTGATATGCTTGAATGCTACTATTACGAGTTCACCTCTTAGTCAGTAAACGAAAGCGAGAACAAATGTTCCAGTGACACAATAGGCTATTGTAATCTGAGTGTCACAAGGCTTCCCCCACTAAGTAGATGAAGAAGTCATGATATGGCGTAGAAAGTCTATTCTATAAGCACCCATAAAATATGAGGTTCATAAGCATACAAATCGAATTTATTTATACATGATAGAAACGTCCTTAGGAGAGCGTACTAAAATAATACATCAACAAATAACGGTCAAGGCCGAGTGAGATATGTAATCTCAAGGTCAGCCGATGAGCCCATGCTCGAAAACATATAATCAATCCAATATTAGGACCTTTCAAAACTTCCCTTACATATGGTGAATTTTAAACAAATTATTAGGCAGGTTATGTGAATAATTGCTTATGTTATATAATAGATGAAACAAATTTTATTTGTAACCATGAATCGATCAATGTTAGACCACCACCATTAGAAACCTGGAAGCACTGGATGGCCGTTTCGTCCTGGTATGGGACTATTCATCAGCAGTGCGCATCCACGACTCCTGCACCCCGCAATGCAATTACATGTGTTCACTAGTGACTAGCTTGGTGAGGAATCTTCTCCGAGTTCTAGTGGGAAGTCGTGCCCAGTGAAGAAGTTCAAACCTGTTCGGATGTATACAGTGTATGAGGTTGCGCAACTCCGTGAATTGATCAAGTTAGACATTAACACCGTTAGATACCGGCTCAGTGGTCTATCGGTTAGGGCGTTCGCGCACATAT